GGGTGGAGCAGCCACCCTGGATGCTCGGAGTCTTTCTGGCAGCCCAGCTCTTGGCTTACCTTTAGATCATTCTCTGAGTAGGCAGGTTGTAGCAGTAACACTGGGGACGGCATGGTCACGGCCACTACCTCAGGGGGATTGGTTGTATAACCTGGAGTTTGAGATCCACCATTCGGGGGACTTCTTAGGAGGGTCTCAACTATATGTCCCCTACCACAGCAACATTCTGTCCAAGTGTAAGCTTCTTAGCTTTAAGTAGGATGTTGGTGGCAGCCACAGCTCACATGCAGCTTGGCCATCCTGCAGCTACAGAGTCCAATTTCTTTGAAAGGTAGGCCATAGGTTGCTTCCATGGCCCCAAGTTCTGAGTTAGCACTCCTTTTGCTATGCCTCCAGCCTCATGTGTGAACAACTGGACAGGCTTTTCTATGTTCGGAAGGGCAAGAACGGGTGCCGATATGAGCACCTTTTTTAAGGATTCAAAGGCTTGCTGTTCTACCTCAGTCCATTTAATTTCCTTTTCCCCAGTGCTTGCATATAGGGGTTTGGCTATTTCCGCAAATCCCAAAATTCACAATCGACGGTAACCCCCAGCTCCTAGGAACTCTCGCACCTTCCTTTTAGTCTCGGGTACTGGGATTTTGAGGATCGCCTCAATGCGGCTGTGGGACAAGGTTCTTTTTCCCTCCTCCAGTTGGTAGTCTAGGTATACTGCTTTATTGACACACAGTTGAGCCTTTCTTGCAGATACTCTGTACCCCAATTTACTGAGGACTATTGACAGATCCTCGGTAGCCCTTTTGCATTCCTCCAGGGTGTCAGAGACTAGGAGGAGGTCATCTGCATACTGGAGCAAGGTTGTTTTGGGGTGCTCCTCCTTTACTAGGCCGACTTACAGGGAACAAGGGTGTGGAGAAGAAAGCATCCTTTAAGTTCGAAACAGTATAACAAACTCGGTTTGGTGGAATAGTACTCAGGAGGGTATAAGGGTTTGGTACGTGGAGTGAACAGTCTCTACCCTCGCATTTACCTCTCTGAGATCCTGCACCGGCCGGAAGTCCTCAGTTCCCGGCTTCTGCACGGGCAGCAGGGGAATATTCCACGCGGACTTGCAGGGTACCAAAATGCCTGTCCTTTTTAGTCTGCGTATGTGAACAACAATACCTACTTTTGCTTTCCATGGATTAGGGTCCTGCTTGACTCTCACCGGTGTAGCTGAGCTCAGAAGTTGTACTACAACAGGCACCTGATGCTTGGTAAGGCCTGGCGGGTTGTTCTCTGCCCAAACAAAAGGAATGTCTTTTAGCCATTTACTAAGAAGTTCCTTTGATGAGGAGGTCTCTTCTGCTCCTTGATAAAACACAAATTCCTTTGACAACGGAACAGTGAGCAAACCTGGGGCATTTTCCGGGTTCAGGGTTAAAGTGATCTCAGCAGGCAAGAAAACAATTGTGGCCCCCAGTTTCCAAAATAAGTCCCGACCAATTAGGGGATAGGGGCACTCAGGCATTACCAGGAAGGAGTGTGTAACTGTCCCTTGTTATTGTAGCCGTTGTCCATGGGTAAGCCTGGGTCTTCCCTGTGGCCTTGTAATTCAAGTCTTTTATCTTGACAATGCGCCTGTAGTCTTTTCAAAACTGAGAAGGTGGCCCCTGTGTCCACCAAGAAATTTACTGGCTGGCCCCCTACTTGGAGAGTTAGCCTGGGCTCTGGGAGGCCAAGTGAAACAGAGCCCTGACTCCTTCATTCAGCTTCTTCAAACATGATGGTCTCTCGCTTGGGTTTTTCTAGGTGAGGATGAGGCCCATCCTCTCTAGTGGTGGGTTGTCCACCTCTCTTGGGATTTTCGGGGCACTGATTTCTCCAATGTCCTTCTGTTTTTGCAGTAGGCACATTGATCCTTCCCCAGGGGTCGGTGGTGCCCACGGGTCCGCCTCTCCATGAGTGGGTGACGATTTCCCTTTCCTGAGCCTCTGGGGGCTCCCATGGCAGTTACTAAAATTTTAGCCAGTTTTTGTCTGTGTCGTGGTGGGGTTATCTCTGTTGTTATCCACCCGCTGAGCCACTTCTACCAGTTCACTAAGATTTTTCCCTTCAAACCCTTCCAACTTCTGCAATTTCTTTCTAATGTCTGGGGCCGACTGAGTAACAAATGCAATATTTATTGCCCTCCTGTTCTTGGGGGCCTCCGGGTCTATAGGGGTAGAAAGCCTGTAGGATTCCATCAGCCGCTCTGAAAAGGCAGCCAGAGATTCTCCTGTAAGAGCCTGTAAAGTCTCGCTGACCTTAGATAAATTCGTAGGTTTCCTGGCAGCTCCACGGAGGAGGCCCTGCAAAAGAAACTGAGGATACCTGGTCAAGGCTTGCCCGCCTTGCAAGGAGTTTGGATCCCACATCAGTCGTGCAGTGGGAAAGAGTTTCTCTCAATTGGGGAGTGCCCGCTGGCTGCCCATCAGGTCCAACGACTGCCTTCTGCGTTCTGGGCCTCTCTGCATGCGCTCCCCTTCCTCTGATGTGAAAGGCACCTGGAGAAGTTGCTGGCAATCGTCCCAGGTGGGCTGATGAGTGTGGAAAACAGTTTCTAGCAAAGAAATCAGACCTTGTGGTTTGTCAGAAAAGGAGGGATTTTGTTGCTTCCAATTATACAAATCACTGGAGGAAAGGGGGACATATACCAAGAAAGGGACTCGGGGTTCTCCCCCAGGTGTTGCGGCTGCTTGTCTTAAGGGGAGAATGGCTGCTGCCGAGTGATCCTTATCGGGAGGTTGGTAAGACGTGCCAGCCCTAGTGTGGTGGTGGTGGTGGGGACTCAGAAAGGGGTTGTTAGTATTTCCCTCTCTTCAGCCCCCTGGGAACCTGGTAGCATGGTGGTGGCCCCAAAGGGTCAGAAGCCGGCTCTCCCGGCCCCGGAGTCCTGCAAAATGGGATAAAGCCGAAGTGCAGGAGGGGTGGGCTCCGCCGCTGCGGTTTTAGGGGGACCGATTTTTTATTTCTCCAGTCCCGCAGCATTTCCTGAAGTCTTGGAAACAAGAGCCCTCTCTGTTGGGGGAGGAAGAAACGCTTTTCTATATAATGGCTTATCAGTGGCAGTGTCAATCCACACATCAATATAAGGGGTCTGATCGGGATGTCCTGGTTCCCCATAAACATAAAAGGGGAAAGGAAAACGAGCCTTGCGGGGGGCCAATCAGGGACCCCTTCTGCCCAATCACCGGTACACAAATTGCGGAGTCTCCAGGCTTTTTAGGGTTAAAGCCATATGCTGTTCGTGAGCGCCTAGAGAAATCAGAGAAGTTAGCAAAAGTGGTGTCCAAGGCTTCTGTCCCATTCTGGAACTCTCTGGAACCTCTAAAAGGGTCAAATGAACACTTAAAATGAACACTTAAAAACAACACTTAAGTGTTTTTCAACACTTAAAATGAACAACACACATACACACACGCACGCGTGCGCGAAAGCAGCAAGCAAACAGCAAGAATACCAAGCCCCGTGCACAGCCGCGGGGAACCCAGAGGGGCCTGGCCCCTTTCAAGATACAAGAGTCCGCAG